GGGGGTGGGCGGTGCGGAAATGAGCCAGCAAGGGAATGAGAAAAGAGGCCTGCCTCCATCTAGGCGAATCCTAAGACTGGAAAAATCCATGCGGTTTTAAAAATGAACCAGCATAAAATGCTTCTGGTCCCGATAGCTCAGCTCATTACTTCCATATTGCCATAGTTTGTCACTGACTTTTGCCTTTTTCTTTTCTCAGTTCCTTTAAAGGCAGTGCATTCTGTATTTACCTGAAAATGTGGAGGATACGCGGTTTAGAAAACGTAATAGATTTATTTGGTAACAAACACTTGAAGCAAATTATATTTCAGTCATTGGAAGAGTATTACCTAAGGATTGAACATTGAAGCTGTTAAAAGGACAGGCCCCATTTTCAGACCTAAGCCGCCAATTTTATGGAACAGCCCTAACCAGTTGCCGTTGAGTCGATTCCGACTTATAGCGACCCTGTAGGTCACAGTAGAGCAGTCCCATAGGGTTTCTAAGGCTGTAAATCTTTATGGAAGCCGACTGCCACATCTTTCTCCCACGGAGGGGCTGGTGGGTTCTGGTGGGTTCAACCAAAGACCTTTCCGTTAGCAGCCGATATCTTAATTAACCACTGCGCCACCAGGGCTCCTGGAACAGCCCTAGGGACTTTCAAAAAGGGAGATTTAAAGACACATTTCAAATTTGGTAGCTGAATTGCGGAAGTGAGGACAGAAACTTGGGTAGGGAGGAAATTGTCTGACACTAAACGATACAGGAAGTAGGAATTCCTTGTGCTATTTAGAGTTTTGTAAATAAGACTGCTTCAGTTGGTTACATCAAGATACATCAACTGGTTGAAGCTTAGTGCTGGGAGACCGAAACTGGATAGTTAATAGACCAGTTCTTTTTTTCCCCCCAGGAAAAACAATTCTGAGACCATAAACTACGCTGCTAACCCTTGGAAATGCATAAGGTCGTTAGGGCTGCAGAGTGGTTTTAAAATGGTCCTAGTGCAAACTTATTACTGTTACTAGATAAATCGTTCAAAGTATCCTCCCCGTGATAGTGTATCAGTAACGAAAAGGTAAACACAGGACAGTAAAAATTCATAGTTTGTATTCAGTTATACCATTTTCAGCTTTTGTAAAGCCTTCACCCTTCATTTCAGACAAATAACAAATACACACTGTTAATATGTGTATATATTGTAAGGATGTATATGTACATACCCACCTATATGAAACTAGCATGCAAAGGAGGAAGTTCTCATTTACTTCTAATAAATATTTTCTGTAGTCCTGTTAAAAGGTTTTTAGCTCGAAATACAAATTTGTACATGTTTCCCAATTTGGATTAGAGAGGATAGGAATATATTTGTATATTGTTCTCACTTATTATCCCCCCTCCCCTTTATTCTTAAAAGGATATGGAAAATAATTAACTTGCCTTGACTAGAAGTGTGACTATTAGGGAACCACCCAGCTGAACTCCATTTTGCTGTCTGCTGTGGGTGGAAGCCATTTGAAAGCAGGCATCTTCCTCCTGCTAGCTCTCTGCAGGATATCGGAGCTGTCACTGCAGAGATTTGCTCCTGTGCTGTGGGCCTGTATGTCTCCCCAGACGCCTCCAGAAAACCACTAGCTTTGCTAGTCTTGTTATCTGTGTATTCGCCTGTTAGGACTGAGGAAGTATTTGAGATGTTTTTAAATCCCTGATGATGCTTTGGGCTTCACGGAGAAATAGAGCCAAATGGGATCTTTGAATATAATCTAGTTTTTTTTTTCTTTTTAATGCCAGAAAACATATTAAATAATGCTAAGTTAGTTTATTTTTCCTTTTCTCTAGTACCTGAAAGTAAAGCCTGGCTTTTTTTTTTTTTTTTTTTAACTCATACTAAAACTTACATGGGGCTGTTAGTTCATATTAAATATGCATGTATACACTTTGTCCATATTTAACAACTACATAGTAGTAATTTGTGACCAGAACATAAACACAGTATAAACATTTTAATTGTTTATGTAAGCTTTTCTTTTGTTGGGGTCTTTTAGGGCCTGTAACTATTTGATCTGAGTCTTTGTTATAGTGGGAAACCCTGTGTTGCAATTTGAGCCACTCCCATCTTTGCTACATAATATCATGGCCATTTGTTACTGTTCTAAGTAGTCAGTAACTATTTTTGATAGTTTTCTATTGTGGTGAGACACAAAAGTTCACAAAACATTTTGTTCATTTAACCAGCTCCACTGAGAAAGACAAAAATAACAAACAGCAACCACTTACCAAGCATCCACTGTTTACAAACGTTTGGCTTTTATTCTTATTTATTTCCGGTGTTACCAATTTATAGATGCCATTTTGTGTCCTACTTTTTTCACAAAAAGATCATATAGGGGAAAGAATATGGCCTTCGATTTTATGTGGGAGTAGATTCAGTTCTAAGTTTGTCATTTAATAGCGGTGTGACTTTCGACCCTTAATTATCTTTTTTGAGCATTTTTTTTATTGTTGTAGTTTAAGTGAAAGTTAGTCTTTCATAGAAAAATTTATACATACATTGTTACGTGATCCTAATTACTCTCCCTATACTATGACAGCACATTCCTCCTCTCTACCCCTGATTTCCCGTGTCTATTCAACCAGCTTCTAACCCTCTCTGCCTTCTCATCTTACCTCCAGACAGAAGCTGCGCATTTTGTGTCATGTATCTACTTGAGCTAAGAAGCACACTCTTCACGAGTATCATTTTATGTCTCACAGTTCAGTCCAATCTTTGTCTGAAGAGTTGGTCTCAGGAACTGTTTTAGTTCTGGGTTGTCACAGAGTCCGGGGACCATGCTTTCTGTGGTTCCTCCAGTCTCAGACCATTAAGTCTGGTCTTTTTACTAGAATTTGAGTTCTGCACCCCACCTTTCTCGTGCTCTATCAGGGACTCTCTATTGTGTTCTCTGTCAGGGCGGTCATTGGTGGTAGCCTGGCATCATCTAGTTCTTCTGGTCTCAGGCTGATGCAGTCCCTGGTTTGTGTGGCCCTTTCTGTCTCTTGGGCTAATACCCTTGTGTCTTTGGTGTCCTTCATTTTCCTTTACTCCATGTGGTTGGGACCAACTGATGCATCTTAGATGGCCACTTGCAAGCTTTTAAGATCCCAGACGCCACTCACCAAAGTAGGATGCAGAACATTATCTTAATAAGCTTTGTTATGCCAATTGACCTAGATGTCTCCTGAAAGCATGGTCCCCAGACTCACGCCCCTGCTACTCTGTCCTTCAAAGTGTTTGATTGTATTCAGGAAATGTCTTAGCTTTGGTTTAGTCCAGTTGTGCTGACTTCCCCTGTAGTGGGTACTGTCCTGCCCTTCACCTAAGATAATTCTTGTCTACTATCTAGTTAGTGAATAACCCTCACCCTCCCTCCGTACCCACGATTTTTTTTTCTTTTTTTTATTGTTGTGCTTTAAGTGAAAGTTTATAATTCAGGTTAGTTTCTCATATAAAAATTTATATATACGTTGTTATGTGACTCTAGTTGCTCTCCCTATACTGTGACAGCATGCTCCTCTTTTCCACCCCGGGTTTCCCATGTCCATTCAACCAGCTCCTGACCCTCTCTGCCTTCTCATCTCTCCTCTGGACAGGAGCTGCCCATTTTGTGTCTTGTATCTACTTGAGGTAAGAAGCACTCTTTTCACAAGTATCATTTTATGTCCCATAGTCCAGTCTAATCTTTTTCTGAAGAGTTGGCCTCGGGAATGGTTTTAGTTTTGGGCTAACCGAAAGTCTGGGGGCCATGTCTTCTGGGGTCCCTCCAGTCTCAGTCAAACCATTAAGTCTGGTCTTTTTAGTAGAATTTCAGTTCTGCACCCCACTTTTCTCCTGCTCCGTCAGGGACTCTTTGTTGTGTTCCCTGTCAGGGTGGTCGTTGGTGGTAGCTGGGCACAATCTTAATTCTTCTGGCCTTAGGCTGATGAAGTCTCTGGTTTTTGCGGCCCTTTCTGTCTCTTGGGCTAATACTTTCCTTGTGTCTTTAGTGTTATTCATTCTCCTTTGTTTTTGGAGCATTTTTGAATGGGAATCAATATGAGCTTGGAATCATCTTTTTCTCATACTGCCAAATTCAATCCCATTAGTAATTTTTGTCAGCTTTATCTTCAATATATGCCCACCACAATTTTTTTTACATCACACTATTATTTTATAGTTCTTATAGAATCTGAATTACCTTATTTGTACATTTATTTACTTGTTAAAAGTTTCTCTCCTAACTAGGATGCAAGCTCTGTGTCTGTTTTTGTAGAAGTCAGTCTTGGCTGCCCTTCTAAAAACGTCCCTCTCACATCCTTTCTTACCAAAGGAACCCTAATATTTTTTAAAAAGGACATTTATGTGCTCAGTCCTAGGGGATGAATCAAGACAATTGTGTTTCCTTTGCTGGACATTCACTTTCTCTGTCTCTTTCAAAGTTGGACCCAGTTCTGGGCAATGGAACACAAAAGAAAGTCTGCTGGGGAGTTTCTGTGAATGATTTTCCTCCTTGATAAAAGGAGAGGACTCACCTCTGGAAAGCCCTTTTGTTTCACTCCCCCCTCTTGCTTTCTGCATTTGAAAATATCCTGTGAGGATATGATGCCTAGAGCCAATTTAAGACCTTGAGGGGAATGCAAAGAGAATCATAGGGATGCCAAGTAGTGCTCTGGATTATGGAGTTGCTGATCCAACCTTAAGACCATCTATCTCCAGATTTATTATTAAGAAAATAATAAATGTCCTTATAATTTAAACCACTGTAAGTAGGCTGTATCTCCAGTGCCTAGAACACTACCTGGCACA